TTAAAGCACATACATTAAAAGTACTTGTTCCAAACCTAACCCAGGTGTGACAACTTTTTCTTGATCAAATAACTGTCTTATGTTGATGATCCTTCTTCCTTAATGGATCTATCTCCTTTTCCTGGACGCATCTATTTTGACATCATTCCTAATTCCAAAGTCGTTACCATGTATCTTTATTTAGGAATGAGGTGAAATTATCTTTTTATAACTTGAAGTTTGCCTAGGTATACCTAGTGTAGTTGTATTCCCCTTTATGAGACATTCTTTGAAATAAAAAGTAACTGGACTTTTCCTTAAAAAAAAAAAAAAGGGACTTCACTCATTAGCACCATGACCAAGACTTAATCGAGTCTTTTGGCAACTTTATGTGGAGTAAGTTCATGAAATTGGTTAGAGACGAGGAGCACTCAGGTTTTGCGTCAATTGGCTGCAGGTTAATTATTTTTTATCAAAGAAGAATTCTTCTTTTAGATTTTCTAACATAGTTTCGGTTTAGATCTGTATTTCTTGATATTCTGATGATCATCCTCGTTCCATTTTGGTAAGCAATCTCTTGTTGTTTGCTCTGTAAAATTTCTCTTTCCCAATTGAAACCCTGTTTCTTCAGAATTGTTGACCCAATAGTAACATTGATATTGCTTTTCTTTCATTGTTTATTGTAGATCTCAGCAATGTGGGAGCCATTTGGAATACTTAAAGTGACAGTTGTGCAAGAAAATATTTACATCTATTTGTTATTACTTTATTGAATCCAATCTGGAATGGAGAGATAACTTATTGATGCATTATCAACCATATAATTTTTTAATTTTGTATAACTATTACTCACTAGGTTGGTTATTCACTAACGAGGGTCATTTTTATAATTTACCTCTTTTAGTACTCTTCATGACAAGTCAAATATCATAATGTTCCAATGTTTACCTTTATATAAATGCATGTTTTATTTTAGCATTCTTTGTGGGTTAATTATTTTTAGCCTAATTATAAACTTAAACCATCTTAATTGGGTATTTAGAATGCATGGGTGAACTCTACAACAGCAATCTTAATACTTATCTTGATACTACACCAATAAGAATTATTTTGTTTGCTAGAATTATTTTGTTTGCTAGCATTATTTTGATTCTTTATATAAGCTATGTATGATTGGATCCATTTGCCTAGGTTGTATAAACGTGATATAGGAAATTCTTAAACTCCATCTTTCACCTTAAAGAAATATTTTACTCTACATAGTGATTAGTTTTAGTTTCCTTCGTGATGAATATGTATTATCTCAGTTTTATTATGTTTTAAAAAATTTGACTATTCTACATGATTGTTGAATTCCCCAGCACAATTCAACTTATCCAAGTAGCTATTCTAAGTTTCAATTCTCTTTCCATATCTTTTCCCCTAAACACCTACTCAATTCTTAAGAAAATTTGAGATAATTGAGAGATTATTGGTACTTGAAATAGGTTTTTTTTTTTTTTTAACAGTTGCAGAGTTGATGTTTTAGACCTTTTAGATTCGTGTTACTTGAAAAATAAAATTACTCTTTTTGATACAATGTTTTCGTTTTGCATGGCTTATGTCTCTTTGTTGTAGTGTTCTTTTTACTAGTTTATAAAATTGCCAAGTTTTCTCTTTGTACTTTGTGATTCTGTCTTGTTCTACAATTCTTTAAGAAGAGACTATGGTAAAAGGTGAAAGTACATTTTGTTGTCCTTTTGGCAATAAAAAGAATTTGCTATGTCCTTGCTGCAGCGGCACCATACTGGTGTGAACATTTGAAAAATGCAATTTTGTCATTTTCAATCCCATGAACCTCCATCAATTTCTCAGTCCCTTCTTTTTACTTGTACTAGAAAACCCTGTTGAATTTTAACAAATTGAAAT